GCGACTAACTATCGGCTATTTTCTCGCGCAAGAAACGTACAACAAATAAACTCTCTAACAAGAGATACATTCTTATCGTTGACTGTTCACACTATCAGTTCACTCACTCCACTAGTTTGTCGTTGAATGTCAGGAGCTATCAAAGATAACACTTTCATAGCGATGCTCGCCTGGGCGTCATAATGACTGCGTGTGCATAAGAACCAATATCGAATTCGAATAGTTTGCAAGTGCGAAATGTCATTGTTAAAATTTGTATGAAAACTTGAACAACAGCGCAGTGAACGGACGTAACGAGAACTAATAATCAGTACACATTCGACAATGACACTCACTTATAGCCCAGGGATAAAACCTTCGAAACTACAGAGTCGTTTCAACGTCAACTCGTCTCTAGTTTCAAGCTCTACTCGCTATTCGTTCATTGTCGGCGGCAGGACAAATGCTTTAAGCCGTTGACTCCAGTTGCATCTGCAGCCATTCTCAACGCACACGCACATGTGGCCTGCGTGATGAGTCATGGAGTATTCTGCCTATTCCATCCATAGGGAAGCAGAAGTGTCTCTAGCTTATGCAGCGCCCGTGCAATCATTACATGCATTATGTCCACGACAATGAACAAAGCCGCGTTGGTCATCCTCGCTTCAGTCGATCCTGTGCTTCTCCGTTCACAGCGTCACTTGACTAGTCCCACGGACCGCAGTCCGAGCGGCTAGCCAGCCGACCTGCTCCCGTACCTACCAGGTAAACCAACTCCCCTATTTATCCCTCACCCTCCAGGCGTAACCGCGAGATCCAGTTATGAGTCGCCGTTTGTTACGCCTGGTATTACCCTAGCGCCCTCTAGTAAGCGCGCGGTCTAAATTTTATGGTGGCGAGTGGCTTTGGGAAGCTCCCTAGCTCGACAGGTCCCGTGTACAATGGACGCCTTGCACTATAGGTGAAGCCGCCTCTGTAGATGTCTGGTCGTTCGAGTCGTCGTCTTGATAAGGTCGTAGAAGTCGAAGTTGAAGTCGGTGGAACGAAACCTGGCAGTTACCGCGCCGTCCTGTCTCGTAGTCCATCATCTTTTTTCGTGTCAGTACTGTTATAATGCCCTTCTGTCATCTGTGAGCTAGTCAGTCATTCCAAGGAGGCTGGACGCCGCGACAGTAGGGAAGGCCTGTTCCCAACCGTGGGGACATAATAGGCTAATGATGATTATCACAACTATTAGTGTAGGGTCAAGAGGCAACAAGTGTAACGCAAGGAATACCTCTGCCATTTTCTTATTTGTCTATGGTCTTGACGTAGTTTTATGAGTTTCTTGTCGCTATCTTAAGCAGCTGTCATCAGACGTCAAATGGCCGAGTTTTATAGAGATACTAGCTATACCAGTGAACTTCGTACCGCCATAAAAATAAGGGTTGGTGGTAGATGGGTGAAAATTTAGGGTTGTATCTATTTTTGTATGATGTATCAAAAAAAATTAAACAAACAAAAATTGTCTAAAAAAATGTAGGGTGGATTACCCTTAACATTTAGAGGGAAGAAAAATAGATGTTGTCTGATTCTCAGACCTACTACTAAATATGCATATAAAATTTCATGAAAATCGGCCGAGCCCTTTCGGAGTAGTTCAATTGCGTAGTTCAAATACGAGAATTTTATATATTAGATTCCTTTATTTTACACTGCACCCCTTGTTACACTGATCCTACTTTCTGTTCCAATATCAGTACCGTTGCTGCTGTTATTTAAAAGCCAATTAATTATAATTAGCAATATTGTCGGGGCAATGTTATTTGTGGAGTAAGTTTGGAATGTATTTTGGTTTATTAATGAAATAAAGATGAGTCACTTCACCAGAATTAGTGAACATGCGGTGCCGTCTACTGGCCACGTAATTAATCATTCATCATGTTTTCACGTAAATATTATAAGCAATAGCGACTAGAACCGGCTATAAAAATATGAGTCTTTTAGAAACAGAGTTAGGACATTTTATTACATGATGTATAATCATTATTATTATCTGCCCATTAATGCCCCTCATGCTGGGTACAGGCCTTCCTTAACGATGGAATAAGGAGATCCAAGAACCACCACGTGACCCCAGTGTAGATTGGTGGTTGCTAAAGACTGCAGATGCACTGAGACTATGGTCTTAACGTGCCCACCGAAACACGTGGAGCTACAGTTAATATATAGCTTATAATAAGTAGCTGAAGATCGCACGACGTGGAACTAGATCGCGGGGATCACAGGATGTCACAAGGGGTCACAGGGTACATGACCCCACATATCATACAAATCAAATTGGAAATTGTTCTAAAAATTTACAAGCAATCTGTCCTTAGCCACGATGAATTCATGATAATTTTCTACGCTAAAACGTGTAAAAACTTGGTTGAGAGCAAATATTTACCAATTCTTGGGAGCGGGAAGTTCCTTCCATATTGTTTTAATGAAATATTTCAAACCATACAAGGTGGGTATATTACAATCCTCTGTTTTTATAAATTCACGATTATTTTATTACGAAAAGCCTCCGATTTTAAATTCGTAAGTAACTTAGAAGGTTTTAAAAGATCAAGTCAACGTTTTAAGTAAGCATAAACATAATCTGGATCGTTGTCGTCGGGTATGTTTGCAATAGCTTTTGAATATTGAAAAAAAAATATGCTTGATATATTTATCATATGTTCATATTGGCCTATTACAAAAAAAAAATTCAAGGCTTTTGTTCGTTAAGAGATTAAACAGAAAATCGCAACGGATAAATGTCAGAAACGCTAATTAAAAATCTAGAAGAATATAATAGAATATAAAACTATAACTAAGATCTTGAAATAAACTGGAAAATAACGTTCACACTATATTAATACTTGTACTCAGGAAGACACCAAGAACTTAAATAACTCATAAAAACTATAAAAAATAAAACGAGTGATTTGTCAAAAATGTTCCTCTTTAGATTTAAACATCATGCAGTTACATGCTTTAAAAATAATAAAAATTATAACTATGTTCCTCATAGTTAATGTCACCCACCCAACTCTCAGTCTATGTAATGTCTATTAAAAATAAATGTTTAAACATATCATCAATTAAAACTTGAAATATCTTCGCTAGCTGACAGTTGGTAGGCAAAGGTTCCCCTAAATACATCAGCATACATATTAACCTACGCATATATATCATTGAAAATTTTTAATTCCAACACAGTCATGCCAACAATTTTTATGACACTAACGTCAAAGCTATCACATAAAAATGTGGATTTTATACTTACGTATACATTTTATATAATGACGTAACGCCACCCGGTTGGTTTAATTCTAGAGCGGTGACTACGCGAGTGTAAACAATTCGGATATATAAATTATACCGCCCCAAAGAAGTGTTATATAAATATGAAAGTGTAAACATTTTATTAAAAGATATCACGTTTCGTAACATGTGGTCATTAAGACGGATTTTCAGTACTTATGCGCATTTCAATGGGGTGAATTGTTGGATTCTTTCAAATGATTATTTTTTTAAGTCTTATGTAGATAATATTGCAGCAGGCAAAATTAGGTATTTCACAGTACATTTTGCGTATCCCCCTGATGTTAATTCCAAGTAAATATTGATTTGAGGGCCTGTACACATAGCACGAACCAATATCGAATTTAAATAGTTGAATTTGAACAGCACTATAACGAGAAAAAAAAATACACTTAGAGAGAACTAAAACTTTTCCATAGAAAACTTCTTGACATTTGACGCGTATCGAGATGGAATTCGAATTCGATATTGGATCGTGTTAAGGGTACTGAACACCATGAAACTTTGGTGCCTTACTCTTGACTTTGGTGAATTTCACCCTGTTGGGTTTATTAACTACGAATAAAGCGTTATAAATGAGCCCATAATGATTGTGAATAGAGCAGTTCTCTTTAAGTTCGAAATCAGTTCCTAATTTAATTTCCACTTAGGAATAGCAGCTGCAAAAGATTTCTCCATTATTACTGTTCTTTTAATATTTATGTTGCTGAGACTTTTTATATAAACATAAGCCTAATATACTTTAAATCCGTCTTATGAATCGTCACTTCACACAATAGAACATAAAGAAAACTTTAAAATAAACAAATGCCATCCAGATCTGAACCAAAAAAATGTGAATAGACTAATCACACTGCACATGTATTCAAGCTTGGTTTCCCAAAAGTGTTCCGAATACATATGATAAATGGCGTTTGTGAGTGATCTCTGGAACTCACTCGTTGGCACGAACGATAAGGACGTCGCTTGGCCAGAAAAGTCCAGTTTCTACTTTGATCGTTTCAAAAAATACTTCTCCGTGTCCGAGATTGATCAAGAGGCAATACCTATAGTTTTCTCGGAGGCTCACCAGATATCGTTCAACAAGACCGGGTTCGGATTGAACTACACCCCTTTGAATTTCGTCTCTTGTTACCACATAGACACAAGGAAAGGTTGGTTAACCAAATTAAGTTGTTATTTCGCTTCCTCTTCCACAGATTATACCCATATCAATCTAATATTAAACACCTCCTAATTTAGTTTAATCACAAATTTATTTTTAGTATCTTTAATTTTAAAAGTATCATCCATATATTAGTTCAAATCGAAATACCAAGTCGTATCATTTAGTTAAATTGTATCAAAGTTTTGAGCATGCAACACAAAGATGTCGAGAATGTCAGAAAAATTCAATCAAATGGAGAACTTTGACGATGAACGATTATTTCAAATGTACACACATGAAGTTACCACAAACTGTAAAATTAAAATTGTAAATCTTATGTCAACTGCTGCGCCAGCTATCTTCCATCGCGTCTGAACTCCACTCTCACTTAACATCAAGTGGGATGGAGTCATTAAAAAAAGCGCTATATAACTTAAAGTCAGATATTGAAATCAGAGAGTTTCGGGTAACTTGACCTGTGTCTCTTATCAGTACTTGTGAGCCAACAAATTGCTTGATGAGTGGACATTTTTTTACGCAGCCGAAGTAAAGATGCCGAGCGGCCACGTAGACAAGCCTGTCATCGAGGACAACAGAGACGGAACGGTCAGCATAAAGTACGAGCCCAGGGAGGAGGGTATCCACGAGCTATTCGTCAAATACAATGGCGAGCATGTACAAGGTACGAAACCTCATTAATTTCAACTTTATCACTGTTGTTGTCTTCTATTTATTATTAGGGACCGTCTTTTGTTTTAGTTACTTTAAGATTAGATGATTCCATTTTTTTAAATATTTAGATTTTGACATTTGCAATAATTCGATCGGAAAAAAAAGCTTTATGAACAATCTATACTTTACTTTCTTCATTCTAAGCCACACGGCATTGTTCAAATTAAGCAATTTTGTCATAATGTTTGTCATTGTCATAAATTTCTTGCGACGTTTAAGTACATTTATTTGTGAAGATAAAGCCTTTCGTTTCCCATTAAGCAAAAAAAGCTTATTCCGGAGAAAAATAATCAGTTGCGCTGAATCTATCGACGTTATTGTTAATCGACAGTAAAATAACGATCACTTTGCAAGAACACTGACTTGTTGATTCTAAATAATTTTTACCAACCAAATATCTTCATCTCCATTTCACAGGTTCCCCTTACAAGTTCACCGTGGACTCCTTGTCGTCTGGCTACGTCACAGCCTACGGGCCTGGCCTCACCAGCGGCGTCAGCGGGGAGCCGAGTCTTTTCACCATCAGCACCAAGGGTGCCGGTGCTGGCGGTCTGTCTATGGCCGTCGAGGGCCCTAGCAAAGCTGAGGTAATTGGCTTCTTTACGTATTCTTCTACTGTTACCTTTTTGTCTATCTGACCTTCCAAGTTCACCAACGTGGACTCCTTCGCATTTGGGTACGTCACAGCCTTCGGATCCGGCTTTACTAGCGGCGTCAGTGGGGAGCCCAGGCTGTTCACTATACTGATAGTATAGTGCACCTGCACCCTTGGTACTGACCAAGGGTGCAGGTGCTGGCGGTCTGCCTATGGCCGTTAAGTGCCCTAGAAAAAAGCTGAGATGATTCGCTTCTCCAGATAGTATTCTACTATTGTTAGTTTATAGACAAATCTACGCTTTTAAGTTTACCGTAGACTGTCTTGCGTCCGGTCACAGCCTACGAGTCTGGGCTCACCTACGGCATCAGCAGGAAGCCGAGTCTGTTCACCATCAGCAACAAGGGTGCTGGCTTATTTAGTTTCTTCACTCACTGTTCTTCTATAGTTACTTCCTAGACTAGTCTACTCTTCCAAGGTTACCGTGTACTCCTTCGCATCTGGATACGTCACAGTCTATGGGCCCGGTCTTACCAGCGGCTTGTTCGTCATCAGCACTTAGGGTTGCCGGCACAGGCGGTCTGTAGCTTTACTGAGGCTTTGAAGCTGAGGTTCCGCACTTAACAGCGTAGAGGGTATTCGCAGGGTTCTTAAACCGATAGTATGCCGTAAGCGCTCGTAAGCCGCGCGGACTGCTTAATGGCTTCTCCGTTTCGCACCCGTGAGACTTGGGAGAGGCTAGGTGTGAGGTCCGTTCTTTGGTGTGCCCCTTAAGGGCGCCAACGTCAGTAAATAGAGGTTTTGCCTGCGTAATAAAAAAAAAGGTTATTTAATGTTATTGTAACAAATATTTCTTTAATTTTTTACAAAGAATTTTAATTTTTTTCTACAGATCACATGCCACGACAACAAAGATGGCACAGTTGCCGTGTCGTACTTGCCCACAGCACCTGGAGAGTACAAAGTGTCCATCAGGTTCGGGGACAAACACATCAGGGGATCACCGTTTCTTGCTAAGGTGAGTAAATTTCTATGAAGGTTACTACGTACGCTCAGCTGCAATTGAATGTTTTTGTTAAAACTTACAAGGTTTCTTTTGCGAGGTTTTGCAAACGATCGAAGCTAATAGTATCTGGAATATACCAAGCTTCTGATCAGAAATGATAGCAATGTGAATAATAACATAGTTACATTTTTCATAATTGTAGAAGGTATTCACATACATATCTTCAGGTGATATATTACCACTTGTTGGGTTGGTAGAGCATAAAAGTTCTAGACTAAAAAGTATAAATCGATACTTTGGGGCTCAAAGGGTGTAACCGCTATTTTGGTGAAAATGACTTTTGAATGCATTCTTGCTTAATTTTTTCTGCTCTATATAAATATAACTGAATGATGCAGTTACACAGTTGGGTCGGAGTCAAAGATGTTGCCTGGAGACAATAGTGACAAGCTGCCAGTCCATCGTCTTCAAGAATTTCTGGAGTATTCGGAAATGTCCGTTTCTAGGCTTTAGAAAGTTAAAGGCTTATTTTTCCTTCCGGTCAGGTGAAATTAAATTTTTAACTTCTCTTTTATTTGGTTCCAGGTGACGGGCGAAGGTCGCAAGAGGAACCAGATCTCAGTTGGCAGCTGCAGCGAAGTCACTCTTCCAGGCAAAGCCAGTGATAATGAAATTCGCAGCTTGAACGCCACCATTCAGGTACAATAAGTAAAGGCAAAGGTTGCCGCGACCACACCCGCACTCCCGGCGTGCATTGGCAGGACTGCGGTCCTCAGAATGTGCGCTGGGTGACCGGTGTAGGAGTATTGTCTGGTTTTTAGGGGCCCTGTTCAGGGCGTTAGGTAGGGCCCTGCTGATTTCACCCGGCCCAAGGGCTGGCTGTAATGAGGAGGAGTCCCATATACCCTCTTTTCGCTCCCCCGGTGGGTGAAGGAAGCGTAAGGCATTTCCCAGACAGTATATATATCTTTATATATATAATTCTTCTGTGAGTGTGTATGTCACTGAACTTTTCTTAAACGACTGGACCGATTTTGATGAAATTTTTTGTGTGTGTTCAAGGGGATCTGAGAATGGTTTAGATTCACAATTTTGTCCGCTGGACAACCCCTATTTTTTTAGGGCGGTACGAAGTTCGCTGGGTCAGCTAGTAAAATAATAAAAACGTTTAAAAAAATTACTTCATTGTTTTTTTTTTTTTTCAAGTGTATTTGTTAAAATTCACAAATAAAGTGTAAGTGTAATTTATGTTAGAAATTTGATGTTGTTTTTCTTTTTTTACACGACTGCTCAAAAAAAAGAGTGTAATCTTTGCGATAGTAAATTGAATTAGGTATTGACATTGACGTTTCTCAATATGGAAGTAAGAAACTTACTTTTACTTAAACGATGGCTCAAAAAAGGAGTGTAATGTTTTGCATATTTCTAAGAGGAGAATAAATGTACTTTTTTTTGCATTTTGTGATTTAGATAATAATGATTTTGCGTGTTTTGCTTGAGCTTTTGAGCTGGATTTATTGAATGCATTAGATGTTATTTGGAAAAAAACCTCTTTGCAATGAAGAATCCAGTTCAAAGGCCCAATTGCGATACAAGTATCCAATTTTAATAAAATTTCATAGTTGTCACTAAAAATTCAATTCTCCCTTCCTAGGTTCCATCAGGACTCCATAAACATTGTTTCCTAAAGAAATTCCCAGTAGACAAAGACATTAAATATGTTTTAATATATATCACAAAAAATCCATTCTACCTTCCCAGGCCCCGTCAGGACTCGAAGAGCCCTGTTTCCTGAAGAAATTGCCTTCAGGCAATATCGGCATCAGTTTCACACCGCGCGAGGCTGGACAGCACATCGTGTCCGTAAAGAAGATGGGTGTGCACATCCAGAACTCACCCTTCAACATCACCGTTCAGGATCAGGAAGTTGGTGACGCTAAAAAAGTTAAGGTAAGCGGTAATCTAAATTGAAGAAGAAGAAATAGATTGAATTTATAATAGAAAAAAAATAAACTGTATGATTGGCTGTTATGGTTCCTGCCTGTTCATTGGTTGTTTTAGATCTTTTTACCAGCTCAATCTAAGATCATTATTAAAGATCTGTCGTGGTTTGATAATTATAAACGAAGAGTGATAGAAAAATTGAGAGGTAACCTGCTGACGGTACATCTTAAGAGATAGGCGAAAGAAATTTTATAGAAGAAAAGATGGATAATCAGTGTAGAAGATTGTATAAAGAAAATAATAAATGTCGAGGTGAAGCCTCATTCCTAAGAATGGCAAGAGATAAACATATTACACTGTTCTAAATAAGTGACATGCCAGGAATCAGTTTTGGATTTCTGCAGCATAGGTTTATGATTTTAAACGAATTTATATGAAAATTTTCTCCCAGGTCTCCGGCTCAGCTTTGAAGGAGGGCAAGACACATGGCGATAACACATTCACAGTTGACACCAGAAACGCTGGTTATGGCGGTCTATCACTTTCCATTGAAGGTAAGCATCAAGAAAGTCAAGTTCTAGACATCCATTCTGATGTTTGTGAATGGTTCCATTATAGACGAGTATTCCTTACACTATAATGTTTAAGAGAGCTAAAACTAGTATTAACTTCTACACTACTAATGGTAGATTTTTACGTCACCAGAGGTGCACGGGAAAATAGGTATCAGATGTGGGACATTTAGTTTCTTTCTATCAAAAGAGAAACACCGAATTTCAAAGAGATAAAAGAACATTCTCCAATCGCTTCAGAGAACAACAATTTTGGGTAAAAATTTAGAAATAAGTCGCCCGTTTTGTGGTTTACGAGGGAGGGGGAGGGGTCCGCGGAGGGAATTGAATCTCCCCCCACTATTTCCGGTCGCCGGAAATACTGATTAACTGTAATAAAAAAAAAGGTTTCTTTTAAACAAAAAATCTGGAGCCTCGCCGGCCACTACCGCGGCACGCACACTTCGCTCGCTCGGCTCGCGCGGTATGGTCACAACACTAACCTAACCTAACCTAGTATGAAGTATCACCACTTGGGCCCTGGAAGTACAGTTTAGGGCTCAGCTTTCCATTATATGTAATTGAGTTGCAAGCTGAAATTTTTGTCACGCAAAGTGTTAACTATTAAAAACACGTACACGAAATCTTTTTAGGCGGAAACGAATAGAACTCGAAAAAAAAATTATTGAAAATTAATATTTTTGTAGGTTATGAGTCAATTTTGACAGCAATTTTGATCAGTGCTGCCATTTTTTTATGCAAAAATAACATGTTTCTCGTTGTCTATGGTAAATATAAGTTTATTATGTTGGTACTATTGTCAAAATGTGACAATTTACCGCCATTAATGAGATCTGTCAGTCAGTGTTTGTGTTCGTCGCAGTTGAGAGCTTTTTCGTACTCCTGTTGATATTAACGTCGTCTGACTACCATGGCATCCTCAAAGCGTTCGACCTCGAGTTCTGCTGGCCCTTCGCCTGAAGAGTCGAGTGTAGTGCGAGTTTTGGACTCTAATGAGCCGCTTGTGTGGTGATACTTCACACTAGGTTAGGTTAGGTTAGTGTTGTGACCTTAACGCGCGAGCCGAGCGAGCGAAGCGAGCGTGCCGCGGCAGCGGCCGGCGAAGCGCCAGAAAGAAAAATTCGTTAATAGAGACTTTTTCTACAAAAAAATCAAATATCATCTCTAGGCCCTGGAAGTACAGTTTTACCTTTAAAACCCCTCTAATTTTTTATAATTATCATTTCTGTAAAAAAACGCCGGGAGGGGGGAGGGGGATTTACCCTTCCCTCTGAGGGGTCTTCCCTAATACCTATCCCCCTGAAATGCCACTACATTTAACAGATTTAATGAATTTTTAGGTTAGGTAAAAAAAAAAACTGCATTTCCGCCAAAAATCTTTTATGGCGGGGGGGTCGGGGGGAGCCCCCCCTCCACCCCCCCTACAAATTACCCCGAAATTCAATTACATATAATGGAATTAAGTACCCAGTTTAGCCGCGATGTGTTCTGCATATTTTTTGAGTTAACACCAATCCGTTTTCTTCAGCGAATGTCTCACACTGAAAAACATAGCCAAATCGATAAAATATCACAAGTTTTATCACGGGAGCACATTCACGAAAACTCGAAAGCAACGGAATGAATGACGCACAACGTATCTGTCAAAATCTACATTCAAAACGGCGGTTTGCGTTTCGTTTCACGCGTTTGTATAATATTTTGCTTTAAAGACAACAAGTAAACAAAACTAATATAAAAATTACGTTCCGTTCCACTCATTTTTAATTTTATTTTACGAATTTTTGAAAATGGTTTTAAAATATTTATACGCAACTCCGGCAACCAAAGTTACTTTAGGGAGTCAAAAACGATATTACTTTAACCCCTTACACATCCAGTAGCCCCAAATTCAGGCGACTTGTTTCTAAATCCAACCCAAGATTATTTTTAATGTATACTGCCAGTCTTAAATTGAATTCTATAGTTAGTTAGGTTAACGGGATATTTCGATTAGAATTTAATTAAATATAAAAAATGATTTTATTTTATTAAAATGTTTGTACAATATCAGTATCAAAATGGTTGTTCTCCTTTAGAATTGGAGGTCCATGGGATTATCTATAGATAGACGAACGTAGACCAAGCGCGAGGGATAATATTCAACTGCCGATGTTTGCATCAAAAGATACTTTACTGACTTACTATAAAACGGGCCAGAACCCTTATTTATCACGCTACTCAAACATGAACAGAATTTGATTGACCATCTTGGCCTCCAGGTCCCAGCAAAGCTGAGATCCAGTGCGCGGACAGCAAAGATGGCGTCCTAGCTATCAGCTACAAACCCACTGAACCAGGATACTATATCGTCAACCTCAAATTCGCTGACCATCACGTCGAGGGATCTCCATTCACTGTCAAGGTATTGCAGCTGTTGAAATATAGGTAGAATTTGTTTTATACGGATAGGTTTTGTTAAATACTGGGTAGCAATAGGGTATTTGACAAGTTTTAGAAAACGCTCTCACGTTATTTACTAATGTTTATAGAGTCCATAAAAATGGATATTCATCACTATGTTGTGTATTTCGATAAAAAAACCAAATTAAAAACTCTATTTTCAAGTTGCCGCGAAAAATGTATCTCTGGACAATATGGCATCTCACTGGTGTGTGTCGTCACACGACTGTCATTAAAACGTCAAACCATACAATCAAATGTGACTTTAACCGGAAGTTTACTTGCGTGTGACGTCATTTTAGGCTCCACCAATCCCAAGCGTTTTGGGTCACGTGACAATAGACAAGAAAACTATTATCGTTATCGTGGGTTTTTAGTAAAATTTTGAATATTTTTTTGTAAAAATAGTAAAAACTCCTGCCAATATTCATTCTAAATACAGATGCTAACAATTGGCACTTTATTTTTAATACTGTCAAATACCCTATTTGGCCATAGGTCAGCCAAGCTTTAAAGAGAATTTCAAACTGGAAGAGTGATTATCGCCTACTTACAATCGGGCCGAGTACTTGTTTACCACTTTAATGTTTATCGTTCCATAGGTGACTGGTGAAGGCAGCAACAGACAGAGAGAGAAGATCCAAAGGCAGCGTGACCCTGCTCCTCTTACCGAAGTCGGGACCAACTGCAAGCTTACCTTCAAAATGCCAGGTAACCTTTTTTTTCATTATGCAGGCAAAACCTCTATTTACAAACGTTGGCGCCCTTAAGGGGTACACTAACGAAAGGACCTCTCACCTAGCCTCTTGCAAGTCTTACGGGTGCGAAATGGAAAAGCCGTCAAGCAGTCCGCGCTGCTTGCGAGCGCTTGCGGCAAACTAGCCCTCAAAACACTGCGGATACCCTAAACGCTGTTACTTGCGGAACCGCGAGATCCCCGTTGAGGGACTTCACCGCGTCTCCGTACCCAACAGCCTCCCTGCCTAGCCGGGGCTCCACGGCAGAGATCACCCGATGTATCTCGGGTGTTCCCGCAGACGTGTGCAGGACTGCCCGCGCTGGGAGCTAAGTACGCGGCCTATTGCCCACCGCACCTAGTTGAGTCTACGTGATTTTTGTGATTTGATATTGAAAGAGCTTTTCACATATTCATAGATTAAGGCCCGTATTACAGAATGACAACTAAGTATTGATCTTTACTTGAGTACAGTTAGAAAGGGATGTCGATATGTGCTATATATAGCGACATCCCTTTCTATCTATGCTGAAGACTAGATTCATTACTGAGAATCTTTCTATAATACGGGCCCAAGTGTATGTCGACAGTTAGAGGGCTAGACTGTTTATCAAGCTTAGAAAAAAATACAAAAGGGCATCGTAACCACATGTATTAGGGGGACCAAACCATTACATTAGATTTAATAAACCACAGATCCTTGCAAATTGAGCAACGTTTCGTTTCTAGAACGATGCGCGAGGCTGTTGAGATTAAAAAATATCTAAATTTCAATAGGGAAGATGGTTGGTATATACCACTAGCTTCGGAACCCATTATACAAGAGATAAAATCCCAACCCCGAGCACACACTGCAAGACCAACAGATACTATTAGTTCTTTACAATTATACAAATTAATTAAAAAATCAGTATTCTGACGAAGCAGACCTGAAAAAGCTGCGAAATCAATCAATCATCATCAATCAAAATCAATAAATAAATAAAGTTTTGTGCGTTAACCCGTTAAAACTAGTTTTATTCACTTGTTCCATAACCATGATTTTACGTATATTGATAGATGGATCTCTTTCCCATTTTATAGACGATAAAATGAGAAAGAGATCTATCTATCAATATTTTGCGGTTATGTTTAGGCCAATGTTTATATTCATTGTTCTGTTTTAATCATTACTTTCATAACAGCTGCTCCTGGGGTGTGTGATCTAAAATTTATGATTCTAAAATTTATTTATTCTGATTGTAGGCTATGGCCGCAAGGGCAATAGGCTATGTGCTTTGTCAAGGCAAGCCATGATCGATTGTACTGCAAGTACTTGTGGAAGACCATTGAATAAGATGTCGTTGTGTTATACCACATGACCCATTGGAAATCCTCGTAGGACGCCCTTGTACATCAGTGCATGTTTATTGGCTGTTGCACTGTCAATGATGTTTGGTGTGATGTAATAGGTATCACGTCGTTTGTTGACACAGATCACCCCTACTAGACCGTATGTACAAACAAGGATACCCACCTGTGCCAAGCTCTTGTAGTAATACAATATAAGCGTGTGACACGCTTCCAAAAGTCGACCAACTGCCAACATCGATAAACAGTTTAGGATTACCATTATTTTAGTAATTTCAAAAGGTCCTGACAAAAAATCCTGACATTTCAAAAAAAAGTCCAGACTTTTTAGTCACAAAATGATACCATTACTCACATACTTACATTGGTATGGAATTTAAATCAATATGTACTTTTATTATTCATATTCAATGTAATTTAAAAAACTCTACTATTCTCTAAAAGTCCGGACCTAAACAGCCTAATCCGGACGGATGGTAACACGATGTTAGTGTTACCATCAAATTAGTGTTATTAATCCGACCAAGACTTCACACTGATGTGGCTAATAAAAACTCGGCTTACCCTCTCTCCCCGCACGTCACTAATTTTCACGACTTCGTTTCAACCAAAAACCAAAAAAATAGTTAATGAGTATAGGTGGGGGTGCCTGTGTGACAATGCTATGGATGATTTGTGTTGTAGGGATCACGTCGTTCGACCTGGCGGCGACAGTGACGTCCCCGGGCGGCGTGTCAGAGGACGCGGAGATCCAGGAGGTGGAGGACGGGCTGTACTCCGTCCACTTCGTGCCCAAGGAGCTGGGTGTGCACACCGTCTCCGTCAAGTATAGGGAGATCCATATCCCTGGTGAGTACCACATCGTACAGGCATCACGTCGTTTGACCTGGCGGCGACAGTGGCGTCACCGGCGGCGTGTCAGAGGACGCGGAGATCCAGGAAGTGAAGGACAGGCTGTGCAGTTCTCTGTGTAGGAAGACCAAAGGAGAAGATCTTCCTATAAGCTGGGTGATAGTAGCTCGGGAGCCACGGCCCGACTGATGTCAATCGGGCATTGCATATATGAAGAGCAAACCTCCGAATTTCTCTTGCGTGATGTAGGCTTCCTTCCTCTATGAGTGCAGCGTCAGTAGCGCCATCTCTTGACGAGGCAAGTGATTATTTCCTCCATGTTAGTTATATGTGGGGCGTGTAGATGTCGCCGCCACACCCCATCCACTTTATGCCCAAAGAGGATACATATACGAAGAGTTAGTCATAGCTTTCTCTTGAAGAAGCGAGTGACTTCCTCTATGTTGGTTTTATGTGGGGCGTATAGAAGTCACCGTCACACTCCGTCCACTTCGTGACCAAGGAACTGGGCGTGCACATCGCCTCATGGACATACAAAAACGCTGTCGGCCATTTTATTTTATAAATTTATATATGCTATGACGTCAAAACATTTGTAAACAAACACTCGCAAGCAGGTAGGAAATAAACTTCAGCAAATCTTAATTTCTATTACAAAAACATGAGTTCTAATAAATTTCATAATAAATATAGTAATTATCTTGATTGTATTATATGAGTGTGTAGAAACACATCGTTAAAGACTCCAGAAAAGTAATGGTTTAAATTGCCTAGAGAAATATACAAACCTATACATGACTGACGTTTAAAACTTGCTAAATCCTGTAACTTTATCGACTGAAAGTCATTTTTTTTAGCAAAATCACTTCGATGTAAGTACTCATTGATTAATATTTAAAGTTTAAAAATACAAGTTTTAAGGTTATGAATGTACCTACTAAGTCAAAGAGTTTTGTCGTTTCTGCTGTCACAAATCCGGCGTCCAGCATTAATATATCAACAAAACCAATAAACGGAAACTTTTCTACAAGATAACCGTAAGTTTAAAGATATATTTTAGTCCGACGAAAGAAACCATAGTATCATGACAATGACGTTGAGTTATTTACAAATATTGTGACGTCACAAACTTGGTGGACAGCGTTTTTAGAGTTTAAAAAGCATAGACAAAAAACTATTTTTCAAATTAAATTACTACAGCCATCTTCTAATTTTATGAAGTGAAATCGATGTATTTAGGCGCCTCATGCCAAAAATTATAAGAAATAAACATTTGTATAGTACAATTTGACATGAGTCAACTAGCCTATTCACGGTGGGCCCGTTCAGAGATAGGAGCTCACTTTGTAAAGGCTAGTGTAATCTATCTCTTCATCATCATCATCATCATTATCAGCCTATTAATGCCCCCACTGCTGGGGCCACAGGCCTTCCCTATGGATGGAATAGGGAGATTGGGCCATACCCACCACGCGGACCCAGTGCGGATTGGTGGGTGCTAACGACTGCAGATGCAGCCGAGACCAACGGCTTAACGTGCCTTCCGAAGCATGGAGGAGCTCGAGATAGTAATTTTTGGTCACCCATCCAATGACCACTGCGAAAGTTGTTGTTGTTTGAAACTTCAACGATCGCAGCCGAACGCGATAACCATTTGCGCTATCGAGCTCCTCATCATCTCTTATCATCTATCTATCTCTTACTGAATATTAATTTATTGAAACTTTTAATATATAGTCTTTGAATCTAACGAAATCCGTTGTGTCCACTCGGAGTCTCAGGAAGCCACTTTGTGAACGCTGGTGTAAGCCTTTCTCTCACTGGAGATTGATTATTGAAACTGTTCGTGACTGCGAATCTAATGGATTTGAGAATTGGAGATTTTTTTTTTTTTTGTTTCCTCCCAGGCGGGGGAGCGGGTGTGAAATCCTCATGGATACCCTACAGCCGGCTGTAGGGTTATGTCAGACTCTTACTGACTAAAACACATCCGTGGGGGATGCCTATGGCCTTAGGGGCCTTTCAGGCTTCATCTGATGCGATCAACCCCTGAGAAGGGGATGATGCAGCGCTGCCTTAGTATAAACTACTGCATAGTGCGCTTAGAGGACGGATGCACTCTGATGTGCATCCGTATCGGTTTGGGACTGAGCGACTGAAGGTCTCTCAGGATCGGGGGGCGGACCAGAATTGGAGAATCATGCAGCCAGTTATATATATAGCGCACCTTACAGGCCCTGCCAGAATACCAGCGCTGTTGTCACTCGCATAGTAACGTGTGGCAACACCATCATGCTGAGGCAGGGTCCTGATTAACCATTAATTTACTTTTATAGTTTTAAGTTAGTTTTTAATTTTGTTTTTTATGTTAATGTTTATGTGTTCTTTCATTGTTGTTGTAATACTCGTGTAACAAATGGTTAATAAAAATCTCTCGCTCCCTCTAATGAAATCTTTTTCATCCAGGATCTCCATTCCAATTCACTGTGGGCCCACTCAGAGACTCCGGTGCCCACTTGGTAAAGGCCGGCGGTACAGGCTTAGAGCGGGGTGAGGCGGGCCGCTTCAACGAGTTCAACGTGTGGACCCGAGAGGCGGGTGCTGGACAACTGGCCATCTCGCTCGAGGGGCCCAGCAAGGCTGAGATAGACTTCAAGGATAGGAAGGACGGCTCCTGCGACGTGTCGTACAAGGTGGATGAGCCTGGTAAGTGTTTTCAGCTTATTACTGCAATCGATACTGTTAAACGCGAATCAAACAAATTTTTTTCTACAAGTTTCCCCATTGTTTTTTCGATAGAAGTTTTTCATTTTCCCCATTAAAAGGACTTCGTGACGACGCATTTTATGTTTTGTTTAACATAAGAAAGCAGAGGTTTCAAAGAACAATGAGCATACCAAAACTTTAAAAAAAATGTTGGTTACTTATTGGAAATATGGAATATCAATATAAGGAGGAACAAATAGTATTATGAATCGAAAAAATCAGAGCGCCTTTGGGACAAAAGAAGCTAGGTTTTTATCTTTTGTAAAAAAAAGGTTTTCTGCGGGAGATACTAAGAAAAAACCAAAATGTCGGTTATGTTTAATTTTCTAAATTTTTGTAGGTTATGTGAAAAACGAGTAAATACAAAAGTATCGGAATGTGGAATCTTTTGATTACCCATAATTTTGCCATTGACATTGTTTCGATAGAAGTTGTAGTTTTCCCAAAAATCTAATAGGGTAAGGGTGGGACCTTTTAAGGGGGCGGGGGGGGGGGGGGCTCTACCCTTCCCTACCTCAAATCGATAATTATTTTCCTCTTTTTTTAAATGTGTTCTCTTCTTCCTTTTGATTATGGGTTTCATCCTGTTCCGAATATATTTATAATATTTTCAACGGCATCCGCCCTGGTCTATGGTCTAGGTCTATCTCGTGTGTCGATAAAGTGGTCAAACGTCAAAGTATGTAGTTCATTCGGTGAGAATTATATAAGTATAAAATTTTGATGGGCTCTGTTAGTTGATTTTCGCAATCATGTTAAGGACTTCATCATCATCAGTCTATTAATATCTGGCCTATTAGCCTGCTGGGGCACAGGCCTTCCCTATGGATGAAATAGGGAGATTAAGGGAGTTACGGACTTGCTACCGTTTATTACGCAAAATTGCCGACTGCGCATTCGGTGTTGTAAAGAATACATAGGAAAGTATACAAAGAATAATACTTATTTTATACATTACCTTGATCTTTAGGTATTCTATACATTGCCTAGGTATAGAATACCGGATTATACAGATTACCGGTAATATTTTTACAGAACTGGCTCAGGAATACGAATAGGTGCAATATTGTAGTTCCAATGTTATAGTAATACTAGCTGACCCAGCGAGCTTCGTACCGCCATAAAAAATAGGGGTTGGTGGTAGAAATGAAAATTGAAATGAAAATTTAGGTTTGTATGTATTTTTGTATGATGTTTCATAAAAAAATAAAAAAAAATATCTAAATATGAAAAAAAAAATTTAGGGGTGGATTACCCTTAACATTTAGGGGGATGAAAAATAGATGTTGTCCGATTCTCAGACCTACCCAATATGCACACAAAATTTCATGAGAATCGGGAAAGCGGTTTCGGAGGAGTTTAACCACAGACACCGCGACACGAGAATTTTATATATTAGATTTAAGTTATTTACTGGATTGTTACCATGTACCTTGTTTTTAGCGAGTTTCCGATATTTTGGCACTGTTGCAAGCGATTTTCGAGTTCACATTTCACTATTCGAGTGAATAGTGAGAATGTCAACAGTGGTACGGGTATCGAACGCAATAAAAGACTTCGTCGGAGGGTAGATCGATATGTCTGCCAATAGCCTACCCGCAATTACTTCAGTTACTCCGTGATCATGGCGCTTGCAACAGTGCCGAAATAACTCGCTAAAAACAAGGTACATGGTAACAATCCCGTAAATAACTTATATTACTATAATTCAATGTATGTACTTGCAGTTAGACTTGACCTAGTATTAAAATACTCAACTTCAAAGTCAATCCAGGACTAATTATGCCAAGTATATGTCTTCGTACAAGAAATGTTCTGTGCCAAGTCCGACGTACATATAAGATTTTAAATAAGATATTATTAGCAATTTGTAAGGTCAAGCGACAACTTCCTTTTATAACGTGGCCCCTTTAATTTTGTTCTTATAATTTGGCTAATAGGGTATTTGACAAGTTTTAGAAAACCATCTCACGTTATTTACTAATGTTTATAGAGTCCATAAAAAATATTCATCATTATGTTGTGTATTTCGATAAAAAAAAACTAAATGAAAAACTCTATTTTCAAGTTGCCGCGAAAAACGTATCTCTGGACAATATGGCGTCTCACTGGTGTGTGACGTCACACGACTGTCATTAAAACGTCAAACCATACAATCTAATGTCACTTTAACCGGAAGTTTACTTGCTTGTGACGTCATTTTAGGCTCCACCAATCCAAAGCGTTTTGGGTCACGTGACAATAGACAAGAAAACTATTATCTTTGTCGTGGGTTTTTAGTGGAGTTATGAATATTTTTTTTCTGTAAAAATAGTAAAAACTCCGTCCAATATTCATTCTAAATACAGATGCTAACAATTGGCATTCAATTTTTAATACCGTCAAATACCCTATTGGTGTGAGAGTTGGAAATATTTATTTATATTTCCAAACTCTCACACCAATTAGCCCAGCCCCAAAGTAAGCACTAAAGGCTTGTGTTATGGGATACTAGGGTAACGGATAAATACATACACTGATACTTAAATAAGTATATTTATATAGAGATACATATTAAACATCCTTGACTGGAGTACAAAGGCTCGCTCGTATTCATCATACAAACATCTGCCCCCACCGGGAATCGAACCCGGGACCTCTCGAGTAGGCGACACCTTGAAACCCGGCGTACATCATCAATCATCATCAACAGCCTATCCTAGTTCACTGCTGGAAATAGGCCTCTCCAAATGCACGCCACTGAGATCATACCACTGGCGGCATATCCGGCGTACATACCTCTCGGCTACGAAGGTCGTCAAATAGAAATACAACACTGAAAATTCAACTGTTCTTAAATTAAGGCTCTAGATGCAGGCTGCTAACAGATGTACAGACAGACCGACACAGAAGGCTTAGTAATAGAGTTCCGTTGTCACCCTTTGGTTATGGAATTCTGATTTTAGAAGGAATTTTAATTTTTTTATTAGGACTTTGGAAGACTTCTCTCTCTCTTTCTCTTTCAGCCTGTCTCAACCCTTTGGGTGTAGGCTTCCTTCTTTACGCCACCTGTCACGATCTTGCGCGTCTTGAAGCCAATGTTTCCCTGCTATTCTTTAAATGTTATCGTCCCAACGCATCTGCGGTCTTTCTGGAGGACGTTTTTGACCCCAAGGTCGCCACTCAAGGAGCCGCTTGGTCCACGAATACCTCTGATAGACCAACGACGTCCCACGCGACCTTGTCCAATTCGTAGAGCAATTCCTCCAATCTGTCCTCTGATCTTAGGGTTCTTACATTATTAGGTTCTTCATCATGCAGATGCAGCCGGGACCAACGGCTTAACGTGCCTTCCGAAGCACGGAGGAGCTCGAGAATGTAAATTTTTGGTCACCCATCCAATGACCGACCTCTGCGAAAGCTGCTTAACTTCAACGACCGCAGCCGAACGCGCTAACCACTTGCGTCATCGAGCTCCTCAATATTAATATGAATATATAGTTAATAACTTTTCCAAAAAATCATTCAATAGAAATGATATTATAGCTCAATGGTCACGTGACCGCAATATGCCCGGGATTGGCCAGACTAAAATGACGTCACACGCTAGTAAGCTTCCGGCCAAAGCGACATTACATTGTATCGTTTGGCGTTTTAATGACAGTCGTGTGACGTCACATACTAGTGAGACGCCATAATGTCCAGAGGAACGTTTTCGCGGCACCTTGGAAATTGAATTTTTAATTTCTTCTAGTTTTTTTTACTGAATTACACAACAGAATTAGAAATATTCACTTTTTATGGACTCCATAAACATTAGTAAATAAGGTGAGGTCGTTTTTTAAAACCCTTTAAATACCCTATTGTACTCATCCAAGTCGGGCGACCCCCTACGTCTTCTTTCCTCAGTAATATTGTTGGAGCTACTTTTGGTTATGAGGTGTTTGCCTATACGCATTACATTACGTGGTCGAAGTTAGCATTAGAATCCGTTTTCAATTTAAGCTTTTATTCCACCTGACTAAATTCAGACGTCCTAGTTAGGATCCTAAAAAGAAGGCTAATTCGAAGCTTCTGATTACACTTGACTAATTTAGTTACTGATTAAGTCAGTTACAAGCGCGGCGAATTCAATCGGACTTTTACGTAATGGCTTCAGTCCTGTCAAAGCAACAAAAAATCTGTCTTCTCGTAGGCCTGGCCGTTAGCTCAATAAAAATAAAATAAAGTAAAAAACGAAAAACGTGGATGAAAGAATATTAATATTATATTTGTTCCTAAGATACGGCATATGTTTATACAATTCGATAATGTTACTCATAACTTCTTTTTCTTTTACCGCCGACATCGCACACTCGCGTAATTCGTAATCGTAGACACAACACGTCCTCACGCAGTGACACCTGCGGTACGACTGAAGCTGAAGCATCTAGACGCTACCTTCCTAAATCGCGTTCTAATTAGGATACTAAATGATTTAGTTAGTCAGAAGCTACACTTCTTCCGATTTAGGATGCTAATTAGGATCCTAACTTCCTAAATGCTATTTCACTTGACTGAATTAGTTACTGAATGATTTAGAACGTCTGAATTTAGACAGGTGGAATAAGCACTTTAGTTTATTACCGGCTATTGAACACACACCACATGCTTTAGTTACATAATAAAAGTGGCGGCGTTAGTAAAAGAAAAACCTTAAGTCTATGGGGAAATAAATTCTCGCCGCCTTATCGTTAGGCACAGACATAATCAACAATTCAAATGACCCCCGCTGCCCCCACCTCAAGTTCGTACCATAGAAACCGAGTAAAAAAACATTATAAATACTGAAATGCACATCATAAATAAAACGCCAACTTGTTCCTTATTCGAATGTCGGCCACGCCTACACACATCACTGACCAATGGCGGCCGACTGCCCGGCAGCGCGGCAAAATTTACAACGAACCATTTTTGACAGT